GAAAATTAAAATCACTACAAACTTATGCTTTATCCATACAGCCCTGTATTTATAAAACAGTCTCAACGGTCCTATGTGGCAACTTCAGGATAAAATGAGTTTTATTTTATTATTGTTTAAAATGTTTTCTGGGCCCTTTGGAAGACTCCTAAAAATGAACAAAATCCATGTCATAGCAGTCCTTACAAACAGAACTGCTCAGGAAAATCTAAAACTGGGTCCAGGGTCCAGGGAGCCCTGAGGGCATATTGAGGGTTAATCACATTCATAGAGTTGAGCCTCTACTGTCCATGTTCAAAATCTGGAGTATTAGAAACTTCCCCAGAAAGACTTTTCCTGATTTGTTCCTAGGTTTTGACACCAAAACAAAGAAGACGAAGAAGAAGAAGAAGAAGAAGAAGAAGAAGAAGAAGAGGAGGAGGAGGAGGAGGAGGAGGAGGAGGAGGAGGAGAGGAAGACTTTTCCTTCACCCACTTGCAATGCAGCAGTTGTCCAAGTGAACCCCTGGGGAGAGCCTCACAGGCTCTAGCCCCACCATGCCCACCTGGGCACAGCCAGCTCCCTCTTCAGAGACAGCACCCCCTGCCCCATCCTTTTCTCCTGGATCTCTCTCAGCCTGTGATTAAGAGGTAAAAATGACAACCCAAGGGAAATAGAGAGGTTTCCCGGGTACTGCTCAGGCTGCAGAGCAAGGCACTAACCAAAACTCAGGCCACAAGCAGACACGCGGGTTTACTGCCTTGGATTCTTCACAGTAAGTGGGTTTATTGTGAGGGATACTGGCTTAAAAACAATCTTAGGAATGATGGGTCCCAGGACAGTCCCCCAAATGGGCTTCTTAACTCGGATTGTTGTGCTGAGTTTTGACAAGGAAAATTAGTAGAAAGCACATTTGCAGTAGTCCTAACAGGCAAACCCAAACAAAATAGACACGCCCTCCTTTACCCTGCATTCTATTTAGTGAAACAATCGGCTTTAATGAAAGAAGAGAAGTGATGGAGACCTTGAGGGAGGGAACTCAGCTTGTGAGGTACTGGGGGGCTGGACTGCAGCAGTTTGTAATTTTGACTGTTCAGTTCCACTTCTATAACTTTTTTCATTTTCCTATAGGTTCCATGCACTGGAGCAGAGGTTAGATTTGGGGCTCGTCCTGTAAGGCCACAAAGGAAGGAGAAAGAAGAAGGAAATAAAAAATTTTGAAAGGGTTATTTCCTTGAAGGGGGGTTTAGAGCATGCCATTGTGAAAAGATATGAATCCACTGGGTAGGGAAAAGGTGATGGAATTTAGGGGAGCAACACCAGTGCCCCAGGCCTTAGAGCCTGTAGGAGTTGACTGTTTGGCCAGGCAGTTCCCCCTCTGACCATAAGGTGGTGCCATCGGCCCAGACAGCCTGCCCCAAGGGGGTGGGGCGAGCGGTGGGCGGAGCTCCCCACTGTAAGCCATGTTCTCCAAGGGTTCTGGAAGTCACAGAAAGCCTGGACTGGACAGCGTGTGTCAACCTACAAGTCCTTGCCTCTGCCAGCAAGAATAGCTCCCATCCTTTCAGGCCCGACCTGCTCACGACCAAGCGGCACCTTCTGTCCTACTGGGTACCTCAACCCACTTCAAGATTCCAACTCATTCCATTCCGTTCCTCTCATTGTGTCCCACAGAGGAAGCCCCGGGCCCCTGAACTTTTCCTGATTCCTAAAAGGAGTCAAGTCAAAGCACATCCTACGGTTTTAGCCTCAAATAACTGTGAGGATGAGAGAACAAAGTCAGCCATGATGGGCTCCCCTGAGTTGTCACCACCTAGCCTTACAACACATCCCAGCCCATCTCACCAGCTCCATCTCCCTCTTAGTAACACACTGGGCAACTCCTATTCCTGACCCAAATCCTCCACTGGCCCTCCCACCTGTGATGGACACTCAGTCCCCTGCCTTGACTTGTCCATTCCCCAAAACCTTCCTTCTTAGGACTGACTGAAGGTGACTGGTGAAGAGGACACACTGAGGAAAATGGGAGTCTCCTGCTCAACCACAGAAGCCCCTGGAAGTCCTGAGGCAGGCCACATCTGCCTCGCCACAGTCACGTAGCCCTAAACAGAGCAGGAGAGCCACACTCCCCTGAACTGCAGGAGCACCAGCTATCTGCCCTCACTCCTCCCAGGTGTCTCAGCTTCCCTTCGGGTGGACTTGGGGTCTGGAGGGACACTGACGTCTTGGGCTTGGAATGTGGTGCAGGCCTGTTCTCCATTCATTTTAGCTTCCAGGATTATCCCCCCCCCCCMCCGCCACACACACACACCATTTTCATCAGCCACCATTCCCCAAATCAGGCCTGAGTGACAGATGGAGGTGAAGGAGTCCACAGTAGAGAGGGGGTCACAACAAAGTCACAGTCTGTGACCCTCAGCCCCACTTCTACCGTGGCCTGAAGCCCAGGCTGGTAACCCAGCAAACTGCCTAGTGATTCTGCAAAATTCATGCAGCCCTGGTGACACTCTTGCCTGGATAATTTGACCCTGGAATGGTCCAGAGATAAACTAGGATCTGTGCTTACAACACCTCAAATTCTAGCTTCTGCGTTGTGTTCGTCTTGTTCTAAAGGACAGTTGGGGGACCACGATGTCCCTTTGCATATCTGGAGCAAACAGCCTCGAGGTGAATTTTTAAATCATGTCGGATCCTTCCAGGGCAGACCAGAGCCTCATGGTGAAGAAAGGCGGAACTTAAGAAAGGCAGAGGGGAGGCCTGGCTGGTGCTCCAGGTGCCCAGGAGTCTACAGCTGGCAAAGGTGACTCACTCCTGTGGCAGGCATCTCCTGTTTCTGTTGTCCCCCAAAACAGGTGACCAGATGCATTTTAAATGCCAGCACTGCTCAAAAGAGGCCACATGGAAAGAAAATCTACCAGCTACACCTTTAAACAAGGCTGGGAGCAAATGGCAGCTTGACTCCGGGAATTTAGGGCCTTCTGGAGGCAGAATAGGCCAGAATGGCCCTGAGTCCCCCGTTTTGTTTTGTTTCCAGGGGTCTACAGGAGGGATTTTTTTTCACAAATTAATAAAGGAAGCCAAATTGAGGGTTCAAACTCAGGCAAGGTGGGAATGAGGTTGGCCAATCCTTGGGCAGGGTACTCCCTCAGCTCTCCACAAAAGGTCTCAGGCTGCGGGAAGTAACTGCCATTGGAACCCGGGACAGTTTCTCACCAACACTGCAGACCTTCAAAGTGACCACTTCCCGGGACTCTCACAGATGAGCAGTTTCTGGGTGCTCCGGCCCCTGGAAGGCCTACATCAAAGGTGCCCTTCCCCACCACCTCCTCTACTCCCTCTGGCCGGCTGGATGCAACGCGGGACAGCTGCAGCCAGCGGTGCTCACCCTGGCCCCCAGCCTCCGCCTTCCCCACGCCCAAGGGCAGCTGGGAGCCGGGAAGGGAAGCTTCAGAAACCTAGCAGCGGCCTAAGGATGACCTGCCCCAGCGTCTCGGTACCCCCTCCTCCAGGCGTGTCACATGGCGGCCTCAATAAGGCAGGCAGTGCGCCCCGCTGCGGAGACCTGGGGCGGGTGGCCGCGGGCAGTGGGTGATGAAACCTGCCCTGCGCGTTACTGCACAGGGCGCGGGGCGGGGTGGGGGTGGAGAGCGGGTACCGGGCTCACCTGTTCTCCGAGAGGAGGGTGGGGACTAGGGGGAGGGGCGGGGGCGTGCCAACACCGGTGCGTGCTGGGTGGCTCTGGGTGGCCGCACTCGCTTCCCACCCTCCCCCATCCCCGTAGACCCCCGAGCTGAGCCGTCGGGTTGACGAGGCCAGGAGCAGTTCCTGTCCCCGGCCCCGGCGCGAGGGAGACGTGAGCGTGCACACGTACACACACAGCGGGGGCAAGAGGCGCTCCGAGCGGCGCCCAACTTTCCCTTGGCTTCCTCCAGGCGAGGAGAAGCAGCTGGGGGCAGTCTCATTCCCGCCGTGCTTAGGGAGGGGGCCCAGACAGGAAAGAAGAGATGCAGAGACCTTCCCCCAGATTTCGCTTTTCTGCTTGTTTTTACCACTTCCATCCGATGACTGGGAGTAGGGAGCCCAAGCGGGGAGGCGAGTGGCACTTTAGGAAAGAGAAGTGTGTGTTTGGAGACGCCTGAAGTTGTCTTTCAAACTTGGGCCTCCGCAGCACGCGAAGCTCCGCGGGGGCTGACTCAGGCTGCCTGGGCCTCCCGGGCCACCCGCCTGGAAATGATGCAAGTCGGGATTGTCACCTGGATCCCTGCAGCCCAGACTGGACTGGGGGAGGAGCGAGACAGGATATCCCAGGTGTTGCATGACCCACCAAAAAGAAAGCGGGAGGAGGCGGCGGTTGCTCAGGGCAAATAACTTTAGTACTTCTTTCTGTTCCGGTCTTCAGTCATGTTTGGTTTTACTTTGTTTTAACGCAAAGCGTCTCACGCTAAGAATTCCCATAGGCGTTCAGTTTGCCCGCAGGACCACTGTGCACAGGTATCTCAGTTCCAACCTCTCAAGACCTCGGGGCTGCGGACCTTCCTGAATTCCAAACTGGAAAGAGGAAACTCGCAGCCTGATGAGGTTGTGACGCGAGTAAGGGACCCGGGTAACTCGGTCCCAGCGCGAACCGTCCCTTCTCACCCTCTAACTGCAACCGGAGCTGGGCTCCACTTTGATTTTTTTTTTTTAAGTCTGTTCGGCCATTGCCTCGGAGCACCCGCACACGCGCACGCATCTCTGGCCGCGCTCACACACACACTCGCACACACGCACGCAAACGCTCGGCCGCCGCCAGGTCGGCAACTTTGTCGGGCGCTCCCAGCGGCGCTCGGCTTCCTCCTGTAGTAGTGGGGCGCAGGCCCCGCCTCCAGGCTGTGTTGTCAAACGGGCCAGGGTCTCGGATTGGTCCAACCGCCGGGACAACACCTGCTCGACTCCTTCATTCAAGTGACACCAGAGCTTCCAGGGATATTTGAGGCACCATCCCTGCCATTGCCGGGCACTCGCGGCTCTGCTAACGGCCTGGTCACATGCTCTCCGGAGAGCTACGGGAGGGCGCTGGGTAACCTCTATCCGAGCCGCGGCCGTGAGGAGGAGGGAAAAGGCGAGCGAGGAGGAAGAGTGGGAGGAGGAGGGGAAGCTGCGGAGGAGGAGGAGGAAGAGGAGGAGGAGAGGAGCACAAAGAACCCAGGTCTCCAGGCGGGAGGTTTATACCAAGAACCATGTGTGCCGAGCGTCTTGGTCAGTTTGTGACCCTGGCTTTGGTGTTGGCCACCTTCGACCTGGCGCGGGGGACCGACACCACCTACCCTCCCGAAGGTCCTCAAGACAGGGGCTCCCAACAGAAAGGCCGCCTGTCTCTGCAGAACACAGGTAAATGCGTGCGCCCTTGCGGCCACGAGTTGCGGGAGAGAACCCGGTGCACCCACGCAGCGCGCCCTGGGCGTTTCGCCCAGAACCGGACGCCCACCCCCGGCAGCGCAAACTCCTGGGGTGGCGCGGGACGTGCAAAGGAAAGCGCAAGGCCAAGCTATGTCTGCGCCGGGCTCGGAGCGCCCGGAATCTGCACGTGCTAGCAGGGTGATGAAATGGCTGGGGCAGGACTTGTTGCTGTCCTCCCCCGGGGTTGAGGGGAAATGAGGCAGCGCCTGACGCTGCCAGAGGCAGCCTTCGAGTCTCGGGTCCAGTGCAAAGCGTACTTCTCCATTCCGGCTGGCCGGAGGGAGGCTCCGAGGGTCCCCCGAGCCGGGCTAAGCCCTGCATCGGGGAGAACCTCTCTTTTACAGCTGGCCAGCCGCGGCAGGACTGCTTCACTCCTTCCTCAAAAGATGCCCGATATCCCAGAACTTTGCTGGCTAGACGAATTGCATCGCGAACTTCCCCTCAGGGGCATGGCTTTTGAAAGGGATAGGGGTCGCGCAAAGCGTACCTCCGTGGTGCTGCCGCAGTCCTCGGTTCCTGGGCAGGTCAGCATGAGAAGAAATGGTGACAGGACCGAACCGTGCGCCGCCTCTGCTAGACCAGCTCTGTGCTCACCGGCGAGCTCCGAGCAGAGCAGAGCCAGGCGTGCGGGACACCGGGCTGGCTCTTTTCCCAGCTCCGGGGAGAGAAGGAAAATCGCCTAAAGCTCCTTCACTCTGCACCCAATCCCGCTGTGTTCTGGGGGGCTGTGCGAGCGCCGCAGAGGCAGCGAGCGTGCGCTCACCGCCCTAGCAGGAATGCACGAATACCCACAGGGGACGCCCCAAGTGAGTGAATCGCTGCCCTGCGCTCTCCTTCCGGTTTGCGCCGGGGGTCCTCCTGGAGCCTCTCACCTTCACTTGCCAGGGAGGGCGCCCTCCACACCCCAGGACCCTCGCGGAACCCTTCCCCTTCTCCAGCGCTTTCTCTGGGAACTGAATCTGATTCTAGGTAGTTGGTGACCTCCACAGATACACCCCTCATTCGCTAGAGGAATCGGAGTGCGGATTGTCTGCTCTGACTCCGCCCTTCTTCCAAAAGATACTTTTCTGATGTAATTTTGTGGTCGGTTTAAATCAGAAAATTGGGTAGGGGGAGGGAGGGAAGAGGCTTCCCGCCTGCGGCAGCCTGACAGTTAACTCCCCGGGTCTGTCCTTTCGGGCAGTCGAATTAGAAACACATTCTGCGAAGGAGGGCAGCAAGCGCTGGGGCCACGGGAATTCCAGGGGATTAAGTGATACCTCACACAGGATCCCTAATTAAGAGGAACCTCTAAGGGCGGACGGTGGACGGTGGCCTTCTGGCAGGCTAGCCAGGGTCGGACTCGATTCCCCGAGCCTGCCAGCAAACCGCGGCTTCCCTAGCTTGGTATTTTTAATGCGGATGGTTTGGAGGCGCTGCCTTAATAGGAATTTTGTTTTGATTTTTAGGTGTTGAATCATAAAGCTGAATTGAAACTGCTTTGGGGAYGCTCTCATTTGGGGGTCAGGAAGGAAATGACTGATTTAATAGCTACAGCTTCTACAGATCCGAGTAGAGAAGGGTATTTCATTGATGAAATACCTTCATCTTAAAATCTTATTTTTGTCTGTGAGTTTAAAAAGCTGATATTAATATGTTTTCTGCTCTCAAACTACACGTTCCCATAAATGCTTTAATAAAATGGAAAGGAGCAGGGAGAATACTCAGACTTAATTTCTGATTCTGATTTTTATAATTTTTGGCTAATGTTTACAAATATTTACAAATATCACATTTTCTGTAAGTGGTATTAGTGATGAAATTTGGTTTCCCTGCTCTTCAGTTCTGATATGGTTATCACTGACTTTTTTTTCCCCCTTACATTTTCCTCTGGTCCTCATTGACTTTTCCTTCAGCTGCCCTGTCTATGTTCCCCAGCATGGCTGAGTTGTGTATATATTTGTAATTTTCATTTTAGCGGAGATCCAACACTGTTTGGTCAACGCTGGCGATGTGGGGTGTGGCGTGTTTGAATGTTTCGAGAACAACTCTTGTGAGATTCGGGGCTTACATGGGATTTGCATGACTTTTCTGCACAACGCTGGAAAATTTGATGCCCAGGTAAAGACCACACAGAGCGTGAAACATGTTTCAGGTTAGCACAGTTCGATAGAAATGTTTGCTGGAAAAAGTCCTTAACAGACTCCTTAACTGCTTAACAGGTTTCCTTAGCTGTTCTTGGTGTTAATTTCAGGGCTTGCAAGAGACATTCCAGGTGTGAGCAGGATGCCAGGGTCTCCCCAGGGCACTGATGTCCTGCTATCTTTATGTAGGTGAATCCTTCTACACTCTTAAGCTGTGTCTACACAGGCAAAGTGAGCCTGCATACCAGAATCATAGGAAATGATGGACACCTTGGAAGAGAGGACACATCGTTTCTGTTCACCCAGAACCCAGTCCCCAAAGCCATTGCATGAGGGACAGTAGGCTAAAGGGGCAGGGGCAGAGACCCCCAGTATTACATTCCAAAAGCTTTTTCTACCTAATAGGTGGGGTGGGGGGAGGGGCAGGCAAACTAGACTCTTCAAAGCCTCCAAAAGAACAGATATTTATTCCTTCTAAGTAGCAGRCTCTTTTTTCCCAACCTGAAAAGTCAAAACCATGAATGAAACGCTGTTTTTCTTTTGTTCTATATAATAAATATGGCTAGGATCTGACCCAACTGAGATATTCTGGGGTCCCAGGTTAAAGCTGAGTTGCCACTCAGGGCAAGGACCTAACAAGCACCTACGACTCCAATGTCTACAACCCAAATAAACKCGGGCTCCTATGCACGAGGCACTTGCCCCCCCCCCTTCATTTTCTCCCTGGTCCCAGGTGCCCGGTTGAGACACCGTGTTACTGTGTATCATAAACTTCATCTCCCATTTCACTGGGGCACAGTGACAGCTCCTGAAGAGGCCACAGTGGAGGTGTGATTCATGCACATGGGCCGTCAGCAAGCCTGACATCCTGGAGGGCCTGACAGGGRTTGGGCCTGGGAGCCAGCCCGGAGGCAGCAGGCCCACAGTCTAACCACAGAGGATGTGAGCTGGCAACAGGGGAAACAGACCAGGGAGGAAAGAGCACAACTTTGAACTCGAGGCTCCCTAATAACGCATCCCTTCTGGATTAACTGGAATTAGGAAGCGTAATAGGAAATCCGGAGGAAAGATGTGTGCTGAAGGGCAGTCCCACAGGATGTCAGGGAAGAAGACCAGAACAGGTCGCTCTGGCCCTGGAGTGAATTAATCTCCCTTTTTCCCTCAACCAACAGGAGCATGTCCTCGTGTCCTCGAGTTAGAGGCATCCCCACCAGTCAGTTCCCAGCACAGAACTAGTTAAGCCCTCTGTCCCGTTTGGCTCCTACTGGAGAGCTGCAGGAGAAGGGGCCACAGGGTGGGTTCTCAGCCCTCAGACGCTCTATGGGCGCATTTCAGTTGCTTCTAAAGAGAGAACCAAAATAAATGTGCTGGCTGGCTTCCCGTGTCCAACCTGAACCATTGACTGTGTCTCAAGTGGCTTCCCGGGTCTAAAACCCAGGGTGGCCTCTAGGACCACAGCTTGTTTCTAGAGTAAGGGAGGAGGCTGCGGGGAATCCTAGGTGGGCACCCAAGTGCCCCCTGCCTGGGACACTGATAAGGAAGCCAGGGCCCAGCTCCCTCCACAACCCCAACAGCTGGCTCCTTTCTAGGATAAGCGCAGCCTTAATGGGGTTGCCAGGGAGGAGAGCTGCGGGCCAGATGTATGCGGGCCTCTCCGAGGCAGGAGCRTGGGGGAGGGCCACTCGGCTCAGATGCTGCCAGGCCGGGTGCCAGGCGGCCTTTTAGTAGCAAAAATCCTAACAGTTTAAAGGAGTAGAGTCATTTTTTGGAAAGGCAAAGAATGCTCCTGCTTGAAGAATAAGAGGAGGCCCGAGTGGAGCCAGAGGCCCTGAGGCAGGAAGGGAGGCCCGCRGCCTCCGTCTTGGTGAGGCTCCTGGAATGGAAGAAGGTGCAGCTCGGCGGCCAACGGGCACCTTCCACTCGGGAAGGACCCTTGCTGAGAACCACAAAGGAGTCATGGCCCAGTTCCCCTGGTGTTCCAGAAAAGCTGCCACCCAGCCGCCAGCCCTGAGCTGCCCTGACAGCCGCGGAAGCCCCAGTTCAAGGGAAACGAAAGGCGCAGCTGGGGAGGAAGGAGGCAGATTTGTTAGTGCACAACACTAACATCCTTTCTGGCGCGGTGCCGGAGGTGTCCTGTCACTCTGGATGTACCTCCGATGTGCCCCGTCACCTGGGAAGGACATGAGTCTGGGACAGGGCCTGGGATTTGTTGTCCTAAAAGTCCTGTGTGACAGCCCCAGAAAGATCAGTGCAGGCGCTAACGCCTGGCCTTCCGCCCTCTCCTCTCCCCTCCCCTCTGCTCTCAGGGCAAGTCGTTCATCAAAGATGCCTTGAAGTGCAAGGCCCACGCTCTGCGGCACAGGTTCGGCTGCATAAGCCGGAAGTGCCCRGCCATTAAGGAAATGGTGTCCCAGCTGCAGCGGGAATGCTACCTCAGGCACGGGCTGTGCGCCGCGGCGCAGGAGAACATCCGGGTGATGGTGGAGATGATCCACTTCAAGGACCTGCTGCTGCACGAGTGAGTACTGCCCGCAGGGCCCGGGAGGGCGGCCGCGATGGCGTCCAGCCTGAGGGCCTGACATCCGAAGCTGCATTCCCAAAAGCTGTCCCCCAGGAGCCCCTGTCCTGCTGGCTTTCAAGAAAAATGAGATTTTTTTTCATCACCACTTTCCAAATCCTGGGCCCCCAAAACAATATTACTTTTACTCAAATGTTTAAAATCAGAAATTCTCATCTTCCCCTTAGCCAAGGAAGTCTCTGAATATCTCAAATAGCTGCAGGGTTGTCCTTGTGGGCAGCTGAGCGCAGAGACATCTGTTGGACCGGGCACTGTGCTGAGTGCTGTGTCTGAACCTCTCACCTGACCCTCGCAGCAGCTCCAAGACTTGGGTGYTTTGACTGGCTTTTTACAGATGAGAAAACTGAGGTGAAGGCAAAGCTGGGACTGGGGACCAGGCAGCTTAACTGAGAGCCTAACAGGCAGCTCTTAACTGAGAGCAGTGCTTCCCCTGRCCCCAAGGCTCTCCTTTCTTTGAAAAGCCCCCACCAGAGAAAATGCAAAACAAACATCAAAAACRGATCTGCTAAGCATTGGCATGCCACACCAGGAAAATGTGACAGTCCTTCTTGGAAGACTTGCAATTCACAGATAAGCCCRGGACTCCTCATTCTTTAAAAATGGTCCCAGCTTTCAGATCCTAATTTTTGCAGAAACGTAAAAGCAAGTGGGTACACAGTTGTTCCTAACATGAGGGACGAGCCAATGGCTCCTTCCTCGGAGCAGAAAGGAAGCCACCAGCTAACAGTCCAGTGCATATCACTGCAGTTTGAGGGCACCCTTGTTCTTCCCACAGGGTGGCATGGTGCCAAGTCAGTACATGGACTCTTGTTCCTCAGTTCATGCCATGACCTGCTCCCAGCTATGTCACTAAACAGGCTACCCCACCCTCACCCCCAGTATCACCTCAGTCATGGAGGACAACAACCTCCGCCGTCACTACCCACTTGGTTATAAGGTTGCAGGTATCTTGCAACAGCCTCTGGATCATAAGGTGTGTGGGGCATGGATGCCGGCAGCTCTGGCCAAAAGCGAGAGTAYGTTGCCTTTTCCTTGAATCACACCAACACCTCATGCAACAGTTTCATTCTTCCAAATACGTCTAAGAGAGCAATAGTAATAACAGCATCAACAACAATGATAACCATCCTTTTTTCCTAATGTGCCAGGTTTTTGGCCAGGGTCTTTGTGTGAATTAACACATCTGTCTTTCCCAATCATGCTACAAGATAGAAATTACTGTCCCRTTTTATAGAAGAGGATAGTGAAGGCTGAACCTCACTCCGGGGTTTGAGTCCTCCTCTTCAATGTGGGGATTGGTGGTGTGCAGTCATCCCTGAGGGCCTGGAGCGTCCTCCTCAGATACACAAAGCCATAGGTGCTCCAGACCCTTATTTAAAATGACATAGCTTTTGCATATAACCTGCACACATTTATTTATTTGTTTGTTTTTAATTTTCAAAAATGTTAGTGCATTACAGTTACACGTAATAGTGGGGTTCATTTGACATATTCGTAAACACACAGAGCAAGTTTTCTCATTTCAATCCCAACCTGTATGCATAAATCATCTCTAGAGGACTTATAATACCGARTGTAACGTAAATGCTACGGAAATTGTTGTTGCCCTGTATTGGTTAGGAGATAATGTCTAGGGGAAAAAAATAATCCGTACAAGTTCAGTACAGATACATTTTGTTTTCCAAATATTTTTGCTTCGTGGCTGGTTGCGTCCACAGATGCAGAGGGCATAGGTACCTGAAGCCAGTTGTCAGGAACTAGCCAGCTGTCAGAACCCAACCTCCTTGTTCCTGGCCTGTCCTCTCCTCACCATACCTGCAGAGGCCTCATGGTCACCAAATATAGTACAGTTCTTTGCTTTTCTCAAACCAATCCCCCTGTCTCACACAGTGAGCTCTGTGAAACCCCTTTCCTTCCAGGTACCCTGAAAAAGATGCACGCCCCATGGCTGAGAACCTCCATAAGTCCATTTGCCCCAGCCCATCCCCCACTGTCACCCATGACACAGCTTGTTGACTATGGGCCCGGGGTGCAGGTTTATAAGTCTACAATGTGTTGTTGAGTGTCTTCTTTGGGGGAGTGAAGTTTTGAGGGTTTTGCATGCTGTCYCCCTGAAACGGAAGGAGCTCAGTGGCTGTCTAGTGTCTCCTCATGGCCACCTGGCACGTTGTGCCCCTCAGGCCTTTTGCCCACTTGGCCCGCTCTAGAAAAGCAGAAGGCCTGCTCTGATCAGGAGTGGCTATGTGGTCACACACAGGTCCTCTTGCTTCTGGCTAGGCCAGCCCCTCTGGGCAGTGAGTCCCTCCAAATACCAGCTCCCCCAAAGCCCCCATCAGCAGCCCTCATGAAGCCCAGCCGCACAGTGCCTCGCTGCACAGCAAGCTCAATTGCCTGAGGTTTTTAGCTTTTTATTTTTTTGCCATCTTAACTGATTCAAGAAGGCCCTTACAAATTGTGTGGCATTGRTCACAAATGAGAATGAGAGCTGTATTTGATGAGAGAGGACATACAGTCACCCTAGAATTCACAGCACTCCTCCTTGCCCCAGCCCTATTGATCCCAAAACAAGCACATTGCAGTTAGAGCAGCCATTTCCAACTCCCGGGGCCCTCTGCTCCCTGCCTCCTCCTCCCGCCCATCTTTCTCCTGGTCATCTGCCTCCCCCTAGCTGCGGGCAGCCTGCTCTGGCCTGCACACAGCCTGTCACTGGGTGCTGGCAGCCAGTGATGGTTCAGAGCCTCCCGGCACATCCCCCTCCAAGTATTTTTTTTAGACTGTTAGCCTTGCTGACACCCAGTCAAGAGAGCTGGGCTTTGTCATTAGACACGGCTTGTCCTGCAGCCTGAGAAGGCACCGTGCCAGCTCCAAAGGCTTAGATGAACTCACTTCAGCACACACACCCCTCCGCGTGGCCACAGCCTCCCAGGAGAGAGCCAAGGGCTGAGGAGAGCGCGGGCTAGGCCTGCCTCCTGGGGTCCATGTCCTCCTCAGGGTTCTGCAGGTGCGTCTCTGGCAGATAGAGCACACCAGGGAGGGAGGCCGGGGCAGGCTGCACATTCCCAAGACAGCCTCCCCCAGCTCGGGGCAAAGAAGCCTGAGGGAGGGAATCTACCTAAGCCCCAAAGACAGACACAGCCCCTGCCATGTACACCTGGGCCCAGGGTGACAGGTGCTAGGACCCTGTGGCTTCTTTAGCAGAGATTCTTAGTGAACTTGAGGAACCGGAGCCACTTTTCAAGGCAGAGGAGTCAAAYATGCATTGAGCGCTTTCTGCCCTGTGTTGCCGCATGCAGGCCTTCCATGAGGTAGCCAAGGAGGCAGTGTCTTGCTGGCACTGGCACTGGAAGTGCCCAGCAGTCAGGCACAGATGATGCCAACGGCATCCAGGAGAACTTAGAAGGCAACTTGAACTCCACCAGCCAGAACACTCCTCTCTGCTATCAGCCGGCCCCAGGCCTTCCTGCCCTCTTAGCCACCTTCTCCCTCTTATCAGTCGATATCCACAAAGCAAGGACAGTTTACCCAATCACAACTGGAGGACTAATTAATCAAGCAGCGGTCAACACCGCACACGTCTTAAGACAGCCACAGTGCGTTGCACAGAAAGATCACAGGCTCTTCCACAGCCCTCCAGGCCAGGCTTGTTATAACCACCCCCTGTTCCCAGTAACTTCCCTGGTCAAGGAGAGATCCGAGGCTGTGATGCTCATGATCAGATGCATCCAGGACCTTGGCTAGCTAAGGGCTACTTTAAAATGTTGGTCAGTGGGGCTGGGGYTGTGGCTCAGCAGTAGAGCACTCTCCTAGCATGGGCAAGGCCCTGGGTTCAATCCTTAGCACCACATAAAAAGTAAATAAATAAAACAAAGGTATTGTGTTCAACTACAACTAAAAAATAAATATTAAAAAAAAAAATGTTGGTCAGTGGGCTATGGGCCTACCTCATGGTGGAGCCCTTGCCAGGCATACATGAGGCCCTGGGTTCAATCCCCAGCACCAGGAAGGCAGGAAGGGGTTCACCCCGATGAAGCATTCCATAGCCACCCCACCTGGGGAGTTCTGAGAGGCCAGCGAGAGCAGGACAGGCTGAGCAGCTGGGCCCATGCATGTCAAGGCAGGCCTACCCCGCCGTCTGCATGCACCCTCCAGCCCTGGGGGCACAGTCTCCCTGAAGGGCATCCAGAGTGAGCCAAGCAACAGGCTGTGGCTCATTCCAAACCAGGAGGCCTGACCACTGGCCCTCACCCCAATCCTGGGGAAGCCCAGACAGAAAGAATGAGGATGGTCAGATCACATACCTGTGCGCGCGTGCGCACGCGTGTGCACACACACACACACACACACACACACACACACACACCTACACCTGTGACCCAGAGGGACAGCTGCATGGGAAATGATGCTGCAGGCAGGTGTCTTCCCCAAGCCCCACCACCCAGTCCACAGTCCTCCTGGTGCAGAGGGCAGTGCACCCGGTAACCCCTGAGAACACCCTTCCTCATGAGCCTAAGCCAGCAGCAGACAGGTGTGGGGAGGACCTTCAGGAGGGGGCCCTAGAGGAAGGTCCCTGGTGCAAAGCAGTTGGCCTCACTGTCACCACAATGCTGGGGCTCTTGGAAGCCATCGGAGCCCCTCTCTGAACCCTGAACTTTGTGGCTCCTCCTCTGCTGACTGAGGCCCTCCCCCCTTGCCCAAGGCTGTTGCACTGACCCCGGGTTCTGGCGTCAGTCATCAGCCCCCCTCCTGCAGTCTGCCTTTACTCCAGTGCCTAGGCCCTCAGCTTTTATCCCAAGCACCTGCCATTGTCGCTGCCCTTTGTCCTGCTTGGGCTCCCTCTCTACAGCGACTCAGGGGTGAGAGTCCTTGCCTGCATGGAGCCTGGCCCACAGGGCTGCCCAGGAAAGACCCAGAGGCTGGTGCTCCATAGTGGGGCTCCAAGTGGTTCCAGGAAGGGCTTCCAGCACTGGCCCCTCCCCTTTCCTGACCTGATCACAGCTCTCAGGGCCTCTTTGGGACTCCGTCCATCCTCAGTGTCTCTCTCTGCTCTCCACCTCCAGACCCTACGTGGACCTGGTGAACCTGCTGCTTACCTGCGGGGAGGAGGTGAAGGAGGCTGTCACCCACAGTGTTCAGGCCCAGTGTGAACAGAACTTGGGAGGGCTGTGCTCCATCCTGAGTTTCTGCACCTCAGCCATCCAGAGGCCCCCCACGGCATCCCCTGAGCACCAGTTCCAAGGGGACAGAGCCAGGCTCTCCAGGATCCACCGCGGGGAAGCCAGCCTGCACTTCTCAGAGCCCAGCAGCAGGGAGGCTGTCAGAGGCGCCAGGGGCGAGCGAGGCAGCAGGAGCCACCCACAGGCCCAGGCCCGGGGCCGAGCGGGGAGCCAGGGGACCCAGGGACCTTCTGGAAGCAGCGAGTGGGAGGACGAACAGTCTGAGTACTCTGACATCCGGAGGTGAAATCAAAGACCGGCCATGAAATCTTTCCTCCACGCCGTCCATTTTCTTATCTATGGACATTCCAAAACATTTGCCATTAAAGAGGGGGGATGTCACACGCAGGATTTTGTGGGAYTGTGGACTTCATGACGGTGTGTGAACAGGTGAGATGGAGGCTCCTGGGGCAGCGGGGTCTCAGCGGGCCTGGTGAGCTGGGCACCTGCATGTGCTCAAGGGCATCCCGAGACCTCCTTGTATCTCTGTCTTCTTCCCATCGTGGGCCAGTGAGTGGTGGGCTACTGTGTACCCTGCTCTGGGGGAGGTGAATGCCCACCTGCGCTGGGCCAAGCACCGGGGCTAGACCCTGCAGCCTCTGGCACTGTGGGAGGGCAAGRCGGGGCCAGAGGGGAGAGAGGATGTCCCCGGAGGTACAGGGGCTGGTGCACAGGAGCCGCACAGTGCTCTGCAGAACCCGAATTCAGTTTCCTGCATGGGGCCTCTTGGTTCAGAGCTGCTTGAAGGAGCGAGGGCAGAGTCATTTCCATGTGTGATTTCTGAGCCATTGTTCTGCCCGGGGGACACAGTCCGAGGGAGTGACCCCTGTGTGTTTATACTTTAACCACTGCTTCCAATCTCGATTTCACTTTTTTATTTATCCAGTTACATCTATATATCTGTTGTCTAAATAAATGCCTTTCAAACAAAGCAACTGGTTCATTAAAACCAGCTCAAAGTGGGAGGAAAAACAGCCCCGGCCCACCCTTTGGGGCCCAGTTTTTTAAAGTGCAATTTTTAAAAGAATCCAACAGCCCAACAGCACTGTGCCTGGTCTGGGCTCACATTCACCTGGGACAGACCTCGTACYTGGAGGGAAACGCACACAGGGAGACCATGAGGCAGCTCACCTTGACCCACCGCCAGGTCCCAGCAAGCCCTGTACCCGCCACCGTGCGAGGCCCAGCAGGAAACCTGGCTTCCCCATGCTGGAGGGAAAAAAAAGGGGAGAAGAGAAGGAGATTGTTGAGGCCACCCATCGAGAGGCCCACCAGTGGCGCCCACCTGCAATCCCAGCAGCTCAGGAGGCTGAGACAGGAGGATCACATGTTTGAAGCCAGCCTCAGCAACTTAGCAAGGCTGTGAGCAACCTAGCAAGACCCTGTCTCAAAATAAAAAATAAAAAGGGCTGGGGATGTGGCTCAGCAGTTAAATGCCCCTGGGTTCAATCCCTGCTACCAACAACAACAAAAAAAAAGGGCGGCTAACCTTCAGCATGAGTGGAGGTGAGGCTGGAAACCTCCACAGGGCAGATCTTATTTGGAAAGTGAGCGATGAGGAGGGGAGTCAAGCGGACAGAGGGCAGAGAGGAGAAATGGACTCACTGAGGAAGGGAAGAGAAGGATTATGCCAGGAGGGAAGTCCATGCGGGGGGGGTGGGGTTCTTGCAGTTTTCAGCTCGTCTCTTTGATAGGCATTTCTCCCCAACAGGCTGTCAAGTTAAAGCCCAACCCTCTCACAGCCGTACTCAAATAGGAGCCAGTTTGGAAGGCCTGGCCAGGCTTCCTGGGTCTTTCCAAAGCAGGGGTCAGCAGACCTTTTGTGTAAAGGGTCAGAGAGGAAATACAGTCTTTTCAGCTTGTCGGCCGAGCTGTCTCTCTGCAGCTGGTCAACCCTGCGGTGAGAGCTGGAAGCAGCCCAGACAGAGACCAGTGGGCTTGGCCCTGTTCCAGTAAGGTTTTGTTGAACAGGCCCCCAGCTGGACTTGGCTCAGTTTGTTGATCTCTGTTCTAGGGAGTGGCCCAGAGGGTCTGCATCTCCCCTGATCTCTCCACTAGCTCGGTCTCCCTCGCAGTCATCGGAGGCCAGAGATGAGCTCAATTTACCTACATGTCAGTGATTTATTTATTCGAGGGAATATCTTTGCTCCAAACACAGCTGGTCWTTATAGGCCCCAAATCCAATCTCGCAAGGTCCACGTGGTACAGAAATCATTTGGGGATGGGGGTGGGGGTGGGGTGACATGCTGGGAGAAGCACCCAGAAGACCCGGGGTGCAGAGCGCAGAGGGTTGGTGCATTTAATCCGGCTCAACCCTCGAAGGGAGGGAGGAGGCACTGAATGTCACTCTGCCATGAGAACAGGCGTAAACCATGGTAACGGCGGGCCACGGCCACCACAGCAGGCTGGCATTTCTTTCCAGCACTCAGGAGCTAACCAAATACCCCCTGCCACGGTGGTGTGTGAACGTCTCTGGGTCTGCCTACTGATGTCCCCTTGGTTGCTTCTATTGTAAATATTTGTCACTTGTATTTATTACCTCTGTGCTTCCCCCAAGGCCTGTCGTGGCTCGTCATGCTCATTCGAACCCCCTGACGGGTGGCGGTGGGGTGTTGTTCATGCCAYGGCTTGGTTGGTTTTTTCCCTTCAAGAGTTAGGGGACTGTCATTCCCTCTGACTCGCCCGGGGACAGGCAGCATGAAGCGGCACTGGTGGCTGCAGTCGTCCTGCTCCTGGCTGTCCATAGGCGGTGTGCATCCAGGGAACAACCACACCATCTAAAGTGGGGGGAGAGCAGTCGCTGAAAACAGCMGCGCCCCTCGCTCCGTGCTCCTTACAAATTCACTCTTGAGCCTTCCTTTGAGGAAGGATGTGGATCTCCAAATACAGATGCCGTGTTTATTTTGAGCTCCGCATCTTAACAACATGATCTGAACACCTCTCCTCTGTATCAATAAATAGCCCTGTTATTCCCAAATGGAGGGGCCCAGAGAGTGAAAGGCTGACACAAAACTAAATAAATAGAAAACATCAGCCCAGCACCCGCCGCAGTCACACTTTGACACACACACAGGCAGAGACTTAAACCCGAGCCCAGTAAAAGGCGTCACCAACCCAACACGGAAAAACAATGCTTGCCGAAGTCACTTCCTAAGGAAGAGCAGCCCCGACTGATCTCAGAAGTGGCACCACGTGGGCTGGCTAAGTCAGAAGGTCTGTCTGTGTGGGTCTAGGCAGCAGGTTCTGTACGCTGTCACACTGCATTATTTTCCTTCAAGGATCAATAAAGGTTTTAAATAAATGGCTTTCACTGGAGCAGTGTCATTGACCTAAGGGGTGGGGGGGTCTGACATCCAGTACAAAGGGGGACAGCTGTGGGCAGGTGGGCTCTTGACAACTGTGGGAGGTGAAGAGGACCCCCTGGCTTCTCCTCCTTCAGGGGGCTCTGACCGAGCCACCCAAAGAGGAGAATGCTGCCCCTTCCTCCAGACTGACCCTGCAGCAGGCGCCATGCGCTTCACAGTGGGTGGACGCTGGCGCCCTCTGGGAGCTCAGCGCCTCCTGCAGACCCTTCCCCACCCTGCAGGATGGAGCTGGAGCCCGGTTCTCTGCGTCTCTGCCACCACGGGAGCACCCAGTGGGCACCACAGCAGGCAGTTGGCACGCATTACCTCATCCTGACTCTGCCCCACAAATAGTAGGTGTGGTCCTCAACTTTCAGGTGAAGAACCCAGGTATGGCCTTGTCCCTCAGCCCACAGCTGAGGAGTTGGGAGCATGAACTCAAACCTGGGAGGTGACCCCTCAGCCTGCATGTTTCCCTCCTCCCCAGGCCTCCACCCACAGTTTATTTCTAATTTAAGCCTGTTAGTATCAGTCCTACTTCACCCGAGGCTTAGGGAAAGAATCATTATATTTATAGCACCAACCTCCAAGGAGCTTAGACAGAAAAATCACTGCCCTCACCTTTCCTCCCAGCAGAGAGTGAAATTCCGGTTAAAACAAGGGAGAGCAGGAGAACGGAGCATCAATGGCTTGTCTTGGCTTGGGTTAGTCCCCACAGAGGAAAACATCCGGGGAGCCTCTGGCTTTGGGGAACACACAGTAGGAGCTGTTTCCATCAGACTTGCCCATCCCCAGCCCTGTCTGAGAAGCCAGGTCCCCCGAGCTCTCCACCACAGGTGTTCTCATCCTGACAGCCGCAGACTCTTGGGGGCTCTGGAAGTGCCCCCTGCTCTGCTGGGTGCTTAACGATGTTATTTCCAAACCCCATTTTACAGATACAGAAACTGAGGTTCGAAGACATCTTATTCTGCCTGCCACCGGCCACAAGGCTGGCACGCTCAAGCCGTGTGGCCCACACACCCACCCCCATGCCAATTCTGCTTCATCCGCCTGGCCCATCTCTCTCCCAGGTGTGAAGTCGCCAGTCAAACACGACCAAGCCAGCTCAAGAACACAGCTCCCCCGACCCCAGAGCCCTCAGGATCGGTCCAACCCAATGGCTTGGGATTATTAGGCCGTGGGAGGGAGGAGGCAGAAGGTTTCCAAATGTGCTTGCCTTTAAGCAGTTTCCAAAGGGAGCTGGAGCCGCAACGCCCCAAAATCTGGAGACGGAAATCTGAATTTGTTCTAAAGTCAACAAAAAAAGAAAAACCCCTGCTGAGGAGGGGACAAGCCTTGGCCAGAAAACAGGTTTTATGTGAATTATTTTTTGTGGGTGGAGAAGAGAAGAAAGAAGCTTTGGTCTAGTAGTCACGCGCTCCTGCTTCATCAGCAGTTCCGCTTTTACCACTCCCCAAAAAGAAAAAAAAGAGAATCCATCCACTCCCCAAAGAGAACAGAGGAGAAAGGTCACAAAGCCGTGGAGCCCGTGGCGGGGAACCTGCCAAAGACAGAACAGAAGCCACCTGGCACCTGAGGACCTGCAGCCAGGGCCACCATTGACCTCCAGGTGGGCCTGGGTGACTGGGGGAAACGAGACAAGTTCCGCTGAGGCCTTCTCAGGGGCAGACCAGGTGTTCACGGGAGCTGAAGAGAAAGATCGGCTGGCCCCATATCCCATTACCCAGCTTCTGGAAGTTTCTGTGGTTCTTAAGTTAAAGTGGAGTACCCACATAAAAAAAGGAGCGGTGTGCTAGAGGACGTGGGGACTGCCTGCTTGCCCTCCAAGGTATGAGTAACTCTGGACCAAGACCCCAAAGAGGGCTTTATTGAGGAAGAATGATCCACCTCTGGAATTCTGTCCCAGTTGCCTGTCACTCTATAACAAAACGACCCCCCGCCAAAGCTTTGTAGATGGAAAACTAGTTTACGTGGTTCATAGTTTTGTGGGTCAAGAATTAAGAAAGGGCTCAGTTGGGCGGTTAGACTCTTCCTGTGGCATTTGATGGGGCAACAGGCTCTGCAGGTCACTTCCAAGATGACCTCTTCAAGATGGCGCCTCAGTACTTCCTGCGGCCCCACCCCCGTCTCCACGTGGCACCTCACCCCCAAAGCTCTGGGTGGTTTCTCTTCTTCCAGGGTGYCTGTCTTCCCCCGAGACAAGTCTGTAGATTTTGTAGTATATTCTTCAAATCCAAGCTAGGATCTTGATTTCACCCACGGTACTGTAACCACCACAGGGACCTAAGCTCCATAAGGACAGAGATGGTGTCACTTTCTGCACAGATTTTTGCATCCCCAGCAACCCAGCCAGTGCGTGGTGTGAATGAATGAGCAAATATATCCTTGTGCCTCATAAGAGCATCAACATGACCCAAAGTGGTAAGAGGATCTCAAAACTAAAAGTCACTGGGAAGCTGTCCTCTTGGAGTCAGCAGACATAGACAAGGGTGCTGACCTGGCCACCTACACCAGGTAAACCTCTTTGGGCATAAGAGAGAAATATAAATAAAAAATGGAAAAAATAAATAAATGAGGACTGTCCCAGAGATGCAAGAATAAAATGACTAAGCTGGGTGAAAAGTCACAGTCCATAGGAAACGCTGTGAAG